ATATATTTTTTTTTTTTTTCAACCAGTAAAAGGATACTGTAATGAATTTGTCCATTTAAATATTCTAATAAATCGTCATATCAAAGCATATTTTAAACATAATATAATATTTTAATATCACTTAGTTTAAGAAAAAATATGTTGTTACATCAATGAGACAATAATGACAAAAAAAAATCTCAAAAAACACAAGAAAAAAAATATTTTTGTTCCATTCACTGAACAGTTTCCATTGTGTGAGAACAAAAAATATATATAAAATAAAATAAAAATGTGTGCGTCTAGTGATATATGATATATATATATTCACTTTGTAAATAGATAAACTTGCTACAAAAGTGTTAGGAATAGTGTCAGCTGACTGGTGCCATTTTGTGCAACTTTAGCATAATATGCAATATTTTTCCATCAAAACTTCAGTTTTGTCAGCTACTGTTATGTGCACATTTTACCCATATTTAGTGAAAGTCAGGTATTACTTTATTGCTTTATTTATACAATTCTGCAGCACTGGATCTCTGAGGGTTAACCTGTGTTTAATGTGGTCAGAGTCATATTTTCTTCATAGTTTTTAAGATAAGAATGCCATGCAGCTTGTCCATGTTGGCATTTGTCTAAACTGACTAACTTCTGAATTCGACCATTTAAATTTGTGCCAAAATACTGTAGAGTTTGCTTGCACACACTGCTTTTGATGTAAACATCAAGTGGGTAAGGGAAGCATTTTCTTCTCCATTTTAAAGCTGACAAGTCAATTTATCTCAATTACTTTTATTATTTGCATATTGGAGAGATACCTCAGATAAGTGATGCTCACCTGTTTGTTTGCAAAAACGAGAAGCACAGCGTCACGCAACTCGTCTTCTGATAACATTCTCGTCAACTCCTCCCTGGCTTCATTAACTCGTTCCCTGTCATTACTATCCACTACGAAGATCAGACCTGGCACCAGGAATATCAGAAAAAATCATTATAACGACAATCACTGAACATAATTTTCTTACAGTACCATTTGCACTGCAAAACATTCATCCTGGCTCTCATACCTTGAGTGTTCTGGAAGTAGTGCCTCCAAAGTGGTCTGATTTTGTCCTGGCCACCGACATCCCAAACCGTGAAACTGATATTCTTATACTCTACCGTCTCTACATTAAAACCTGCAGCACATAAAGGACACAACAGGTGAAAATAACCTTAAAGCTTAGGCATTACAGACCCAAATTCAACACATACAGTATCTCACATAAGTGAGTACACCCCTCACATTTTTGTAAATATTTTATTATATCCTTTCATGTGACAACACTGAAGAAATCTGGCCAAGCATGGGCATCCTCAAGCAGAAGGTGGAGGAGCGCAAGGTCTCTAACATCCACCAGCTCCGTGATGTCGTCATGGAGGAGTGGAAGAGGAC